CACACACACACACACACACACACACACACACACACACACACGCCAAGCCAAGCCCACAGAGCCAGTAGGAAAGAAAATTGAATGTTACCCTTGAACCAGTCATGCTCTTGTGAGATGGGCAGCCATATAAACGATTGATTGAGAAATAAATAAGAAAAGGGTGAGGAGGCATGCAAAATGCCAGTTGACTAAACCTCTTCTCTCTTCTTGTAAGATTTTTATTAATGCAATACTCGCAGCATCCAGAAATGGGATTGCGGTCTTTATTCCCCATTCTCTGCATTTCAAGTCAGTTGAAATGAAGAGAATCACAGATCACCCACCCAAAACTTCCATGTTAGAAAGGAAGCAACAAAATATATCCTGTCATTTCCCCGCACTTCCCTGGTATGTTATTTTCTAACTAGTGCTATTGCTAGTAACTTTCAACCCTGAACTAGTTCTTCTAATCAAGGTAAACAAGAACTACTCATTATTCATTATAAATATGCTTCAGGGTTTTCATTATGGGTCATTACTGAGCTTCTAGCTAAGCCACACTCCCGGTATGCCTGGAAGAAAACACAGTAGTATCCTTTTAAAAGGACTCATACCTAGTTTGATCTTGTGGGTCAAACTTGCAGGATCACCTTTCTTGTGGCACAAACTCTACACCTGTGAGAGAATAATGCAAGGAATGCATATTCAGCAATAACACACTCACAAAAGAAAGCTGTAAGCAGAAACATGGTGCCCTGCTTGGAATCTTTTGCCTGAAGCAACTGTTCTCAAATGGCTTATTGAAAAAAGAAATTAATCTGAATCTAATGAAAGTCAAGCCAACCTAAATCCAGTGAATTTTGAAAGGGACTTTGATAAAATAGAGCAAGGTCAACTAGGCTGCTAATAGCCTGCCTTTTATTTCAACCCTCAAATTATCTTATTCTTTGCTATTTAAATCCAGGAGTCATCTTTGGTATGCTGTATTTATGAGACAATTAAACCCCCAATTTAACTGTTAATTGTTTCTGTCAAACTCCAAAAGAAAAGGCCAAATCAAAAGACCAACTTCAATTTCATTCTGAAAACTGAGCTTTTGGGTTGAGAAAATGATTACAAGATAATGATTTTTATGTTTAGCATGATCACAACAATCTTGCGAAGGAGGTTTTAAATTAAATTAAATTTCATCCTGCAGATGAAACCACCTTTCCAAATAGTTTTCAAAATACAGTTCAGGTCTATATTTGTAACTTCCAATTGCACCTCCCAGAATTTCTAATCAGCACTGGTTACACGGAGAAGAATTCTGGACGCAGTAACTTAGCATATCCAGAAGGCACCAAATGTAAAAGAATGGCCTAAGTTGGGGGTGGAGAACTATGACCCTTTTATGATTTGTGGCCTTCAACTCTGAATTTTGTGAGTTGAAGTCCACAAGTCATAAAGGGGGCATCATTTCCCACCTCTAGCCAGACAAAGATTGTCTTCAGCATCACACTCTATTGATTACAGTTGAATTACAACAATAATGGATTTTCTGACCTTTTTTTTTAGTGATTGTCATATGACCATAGTGTGTATGTGTGCATTTGTATGCAGCCATCAGAATTCCAGAACCAAGAAGTAGGAAGCTTTTGGTGAATCCACCATAATTTCCAAAGATGGGCAGCAAATAAATTTACCAAATAAATAAATAAACTTCAAACAGTTGCTAAGTGACCGTCATTAAGCAAGGACTATCTGCAACAGGCTTCCTGCTTCCTTTTGGCTTACATTGGTATAATTTGTTTGTTGTCAGAACCATAGAGACATATTGATAAAGGAACTCACAATACGAAATCTGGGTTAAAAACTCTCATTAGTTACTTCATAGCCGATTCCATATAGGTACTGACTCATTTGCTTTATTAAGACAAACAGCTGCAAAAACTGAGCCTCTCATCTCAGTGGAATCTGGCTATGAGAAACCCGAGAATGCCTTCCTGCCTTTCATTCTTTTGCTTTTTCCTGTACAAGTTTCTAGCCTTGAGGGTGGGAGAGGAAACCCCAAAAACCATATAAGCAATTTTAACTGAAAGTTCAGAAACCACAAGCGTCCCCTGCCGGCAGCTGCATGGTCTGAAAAGTTTTAATCCAGTGCCAAGTCATCATTTCCTTGGAATATTAAGTGAATTATTTTGAAATTGTTCTTTACCCCATTCGTACCTTCGTGGTTAGAAAGAAGTTAGCTTTAGGCCTTGGAAGATGTTCCAGGTGCAATTTCTCATTTTGTTCCTCGTTTCTTTTATATGCAGCCAGAGTTGTCTTTGGTGAGCTTTATGCCTCAGTTTCCCAACAGATAGTAGCCTTGTCCTCATCTTAAAGGATGAAAATAAAGGGTATGGCCAGAAACTGCTACTTCTCAACTGGCTACAACCTGTTTATCTAGAAATGAAGCAGTTACCTTCTATTTCTGTAGCAATGGTGATTTATTCAGAGCTTGTAAAAAGGCTTATAAAAATGACAGATATACAAAGAAATAAAAAGCAGAGTCATTTTACTGTACTATTCCTTATTATATGCAGGAAGTATTCTCAGAATTCAGGATAATTGCAAAGCCTACTTACATCCTGGAACATAAGTAACAATATTAAAAACCCTGGAATGCAACTTCCTCATTAAGATTCCCCCCCCCTCCCTTCCCCTTTCTTTCCTGGTCGTCCTTAAAATACTATCAAATGGAAAGAAGCAATAGGCAAGAGCTGATGTTGATGAGTTTTTTGGCTGCTTAAGATGCCATCTGGCATAAAGACGGCCAGTTTGACATAGTGGCTAAGGTGCTGGCCAGAAACCAAGAAAACACTGAGTTCTAGTGTCCTTCCTCAGCGTGCCCTAGCTTTCTCCTCCATTCCTGCCTCCTATCCCTTCCCCAATCTTTGCAGTTTCTCCCCCCAGCATGCTTTTTTTCAACAGTGAAGACATTTGTTGGCCTCGGAATAGAACCTTTCTAGATCAAATTATTTATGTATTTGGGGTTTATTCATATCTTGCCTTTACTAGTTTTATAAATATCTGAAGGGAGCAAATTTACCTACTCTTCCTATTTTCCCCACAACAACAACCTTGTGACTTGAGTTGGATTGAGAGAATGACTGGCCCAAAGTCACCTACCCAGCTTTCATGTCTAAAGCAAGACTAGAATTCACAATCTTCTGGTTTTTAGGCCAGCACCCTAACCACTGCAGCAAACTGGCTCTATTAATATTAAGTCTGTCAAGCATTAATTTAAAACATGGCTCAAATAATAATGGAATGACACCAAATTGGTTAATAGTATTTTTCCACAATAGGAAAAGTTCTCCTAGAAAGAATATTTTCACATAATGTTCAATATGTAGCAAATTAATCAACATATAATCTTATTATCAAATATTCATTTTAAACTTGTCACTAAGCCATAATGTATTTACT